TATATTTATTTATTTATTTATTTATGTAGAATTTAGTTTTATCGAATATGCAACATGCTATGGGGGCCATGAAGAGTATGTGCAGTCACGATGTAGAGGCAAGGTGGCTCTTACATATCTTACGTTGTGTTAGACAAATGTATGCTTCTTTGATACATCTGGATTTGCCTAGCGAGGCTCTCGATATTTTCGGTTCATTTATATTGGATTTAAGGTATACTCTCAAAATCGAATTAGTCATTCAATTAAATTTTTCATTATCCGTATATCAATTTAACTTTTTGCATATCACAGGATACAATGTTTAACTGCTCTCTTCAAACAAGGAGCAGACAATACGGCAGCTCTGAGTCAAAAAGAAACGTGGCAGATAGAATACTTGAACGAGGATGGTGGAGTTACAAGACTGGTATAATATAAAAAAAACCTGAAATTTTTTGAATTGTTGCTTTTATTACGCATTTATTTTTCTTAATTACGCATGTTGTCGTTTCATATCAACAGCCATATTTATTTGAGGAAATAGTTTTGGTGATATCGAAACATGCGCGAGAAACGGTAGTTGCTTGTGGTCCAAGAGAAGGACCGCTATTCAATAATTCGGCACATCAGATTATCTATCACAATGTCATTAAGACATTATTCATATCATTCGCGCGGTGCCTACAACAATTAGCGTTTAGCGGCTGCGAGGAAGCTATGGATAATGATGAAACATCGGTTTCGCAATTGATTGGATCACCTTCTGGTTATAAAAACAAAACCAATAAGCATCAAGGACCAGTAAGCAATAAATTCGATTTAGCGCTTACAGCATAACAATCCTTTTGCTTTCACATACCCAATACTTAAAATATCTGTAAATTTCTTATCAGACGTGGGAGCAATGTCTCTTAATCTCATTAAGTAATATACGATACACGTTAAATATCGTTTTACCAAGAATCGGAGATGCCCTGAAAGCGCAAGGCTATCCAGAATTATCCATCGCTATCGGATGGAACTCTGATTGGACACAATTGGAGACGCTGGACAGTGCTGTTCTGGATGCATATCTAGAGCGCCGTTGCGATCCACTTGTCGGTACGATAGAGCCTAGTATGTATTTAGGCGGTTTAGAATGGGACTTTGATACGGAACCGACTCATTTGAAACCATATGCCCAAGAAATATTGGCGAATCTAATCGCGGTACATGCAGAGGTAATAGATGTTGGTGGTGCGGCAAACTCTCTCGGAGGATAACATTTAATCGTTTTATTATATCTCTAATATCATCTTCCCGCAGGTACGCAGAGTTGCACCAGCTCTATTACAGCGGATCCTATCTCATATAATAGAGACTATAGCAGAGGAACTCGCGCGACTCATGTCATGCGTTACGCAATTTCGTCCGGCTGGCATTATTCAAGCTCGAACAGATATTATACTCTTGAGAAACGCTCTGCAAGCCTACAGCACAAGTAGAGCGAGGTAAAAATTAGATATCGAAAATAGAGTATCACCTTGAAAATTGTATGTTAAAACCTATTAGCATTTCTAAGTCGATCTTTCTTTTTTTCTCTTTTATTAAGCAGAAGCTTTTTCGAGGAAGCTCTGGACGCGATACCTCAGCCAGTAAATAAGGAAGATCACATGAGAGTAGAAGCCCTTTTGTCAAAAGTCGCAACGTGTATGCGACTGCAATTGTCGTGTCTTACCAGTGAGGTAACGGAAAATATTCGTTATTTAACGGCGGATCCTGAACGCGTTACCACTGTGTAATTTATAACGACCAAAGTACGTAATGTGATTACGGGACAACATTATATTTATTAATATTAAATTATTAAAAGTTCTATTATTGTATTTATGTTGCACATATTAGATATGGTACATTATACAATGGAATTCGCGAATTCTTACGACTTTTATTTGATTGTAATGCGGCAATTGTAAAATAAATAGACTTTAATTCTATGTAATCAGTTTTATTTTCTGATTTTTATATTTTTTGTGAAAATTGATCAGTTTCAAAAAATATTTCTCACACATGATCGAATGATATCCATATAAATCCACATAAAATCAAATTAGAATAATTAGGCTTTTTTAATCAGTTGTAACGTTCCGTCTCCCGATAATAATGCAGTGTCACCTGAAATAGAAGAACGCACATAAAAATTGTCACTTGAAATAAAAGAACGTACATAAAAACAATTAACAAAAAGAAGTTAATAAAAAGAAAATCTCAATGTTATAGATCGTTTTTATACAGCGTGACATAAGAAACTTTACCCGTTTTAAAAACTTGGGTTGCGCCTTTTGCACCAACGATGCAAGGAAGACCGTACTCTCTTGCCACAACGGCGCCATGACTTATTAAACCACCCAATTCTGTTACGATTCCAGCTAATAACGGAAAATATGGACTCCAACCGATATCGGTGCAGTATGTAATCAAAATATCTCCATGCTGTATAATTTTTGCTTCGGATAGATCGGTTATCACACACGCTCTGCCTAATACAGAATCGCCGCAAACTGAAGTACCCTCAATCTTTGTACATCCTTCGTAGGACGAAGTATCGAAGGTCGGCTGTGACAAAAAGTATATATGCAATATAAATCTTAGGGATACGATAGAAATACATATATTAAAAAATATAAAAATATATAAATGATTTTTCTAGATATTGTAATAATAGGCTGTATTCCAAAATTCACTACCAGCACTGAAAATCTACAGTCTATGTCACATGTACTATACATTTTCAGCACTGACAGTAAATTTTGGAACATAACAAGTAATTCGGCTTGACTCGACTTGGCTCTCTAACATTTACGACAAACCTCTATTGGCACGGGCATGCCAGTACTGAATTCCGGATATTCAAATTTTGCTACTTTCTGATAAATCTTTCTTCTACGTAGCGCTCTGAAAGATAGACATGGCAAATTATGATAATATATACACAGAGGATAAAGAATGATGCACTGAATAATATGTAATAAAAAAAATAGTGTAAAATCAACTCACTTGCGTAAGAGTAATTGATTATGCTTATTCAACAGTTGCCCGATCTCTTGATGCGTCAGGAAAAATATGAGCTGTTCATCGGGTATGTAACTTTCTTTAACCATCAAAACACCAAGTCGTCTATAAGCTAATCTCAATATATGCACAGCAGATACACATACGTTTTTTGTCATTTCTCTGAGCGTGACAGCTTTTCGACACCAGGGTATTATCACCCGCAGAACGTACTTGGTAAACAATGATATGGGTGTCTTCAAAGATGTTATGGTTTCTTCCACGCTAAGCGTTCTACTCACGTAATTCTCTTCAATGGACATTGCTAGTACCTAATAGCAGAATAATGAGAACATATATACATACGTATACACATACACTCGCGCGCGCACACGCACGCACCTTAGTTTTGAGCATCCTTACTACACACATTCGATCATTCGTGTTCTGGATTAATTTTCATCACTTTTACAAATATATAAAAATTATTAA